TTAGACTTTGTTTTGCATAACAAATAGTTTACAACCTTTCATATAAACACATATACAGTATATTGTACATTTTATTACATGAATAAATCGTATCAATATAATTGAGAGTTAATTGATATTATAAACTTCATACTATTGTTGTTTAGTATTTATAAATTCTGTATTACAAAATGAAAGTACAATAATTATGATGTAAACATAAATGTAGTGGAAAAGTTAACAAGTTTGACTGGTTTATAGACAAGTTTTTTAAAGTCATCATAACTAACTATTTGTTTAAAACATACTTTTGTACTTAAAAATACTTAAATATGTGTTGAATAAATTTATACATAAAAATTTATGAGGTTTATTTGAATTGAATAAAAACACATTAAACAAATATTTCTAAAAATATTTAATCATCAAAATATTTCAAACATTTTTAATTCATACATGTCATTCAACATTGAAACAAATTCTTGAATAGTGTTGAGTATTTGAATGCAAACTCATAAACACTACACAATATATCGACGGGTTTTGAAGGCCCAGTACAGGTTACCTTTGGTGAGGCACACCATTTCCAGTACATACTCGTAGATCGCCTTATCCTTCATGAGTCTGATCTGTTCGGCATAATTCATGGCTATAGTCCAGGCGTCGTGTATCTCATACACCATGCGATCCATAGCCGTCTGGGCCGAGCAGCCCTCGTGAGCCATAATTAGATACAGATAACTGTATTTGAGTCGTCCGTCCCGGAGCCGCTTTTTCAGGCCGTAGATCTCGTTCACTAACACCGTGTGTCTGCCGAGGGCTGCCACATAGGCCTTATAGATCTTGTTGTCCACCATTTTATGGACAGTGGGGTCGTAGGCGCAGCTCATCTCAGCACAGATAGCTAGCACACCATGTGCTGACTCCTTCTCCCTATTAATTTATTATAAAACACATATTAGTACCTTGCTTATCTAAATTGATGATTTCTGTGGTGAGGCTATACCTGAGATCAAAGAACTGTTCGTAAGACATGACTTTGTCGTCGAAGTCATAGTTATTGATCTCGACATACGAGTCAATCCAGTCGACCACGTGCTGCACGTGTCGGTCGTACTGCGCGGCACTCAAAGTCTTTTTCATGTACTCCATGGCTTTGGTCATCATTTTATCCATAGCAGTGCTATCAGTAGTCTTTCCACTCTTATATTTATCCGACCATTTGCTGGGAAGGGAAAGGTATTTAATTGCAATCAACTCATAATAAATTAAAATTTTCTTTTTTATAGCACTTTAGATATTCTTTTCAAATCAATTGAGCCCTGGTTACACTCATACAAAACAAACCTGGTCACATTTCTATCCTTCTCATTGATGAGTAGGTCATCCATCAGGAATGAAAAGGTTGTCCAGTAGTTGATGGCCAGCAACTGATCCCTGTCTTTGGTATAATAGCCAGAAAAGGTGAGGAGAGTGTAGTCCCGGTCATCCTTCCACGGCTTCCCATAGGCTTCGCTCAGCTCTTTCTCCAGCACTTCGACCGCGTCTTTAGTCCAGGGGTTGGGCTCCAGTTTCTCGGCGAACAGACCCCTCAGCTTATGGGCCAACAGGTCCTCAGCGGTGAGGTTCACCTCTTTGGCACTCTTTGTGGGCTTCTTCTGGTACTCTTCGTTCAGAAACCCTTTTGATGTCAATATTGGGTCCCGTTTTACGCACTGATTCTCGTGTCGTCTCACTGTTCGGGGTATTTGGCAAATATTTTTCGATTTTATTTATGGTTCAATGTTATGATTTGTAAAAATACTATATTTCAGTTATTTTATATATATCTTAACGAATAAATCTACTTACAGATTACGGACATTGTATATATTTATTTATTTATACTTTAAATTACAAAGTTTTAATGTTTTACAAATGCTTACAACTCATCAAATAAACGCAAATCTGTTTTTACGACTTTTATTAGATTTTTAACAGAATTTTCTAGAATTTAAATGAGATGTTTAAAATTAATTTAATCTATTTCCAAATGTTAGGTTTATTTTTAAGCATCACATGTTCACAAAAATATGATGATAATGATAACAACATATGGATATAAATTTAATAATTTTGATGAAAATTTTATTGCTTAAAATTACTAACCTTCACCGAAATATTATATTTAATATCATAATATTTGAGAGATTATTACATAAATTTAAATTACTTTATAATTGTTTTGAATAATTGAGATAAATTTGACAGTTTAAATAGAAGTTTCCACAAAACTAGCATAAACTCATAAATGAAAACTGTGCTTGCTAGAAAATATCCGACTATTAAGGAGGAGACAGCCTCACGAACAAACTCATCCATAGTTATTGCTTTGCATTTGTTAAATCGTGTTATTGAAGACTTTTTTGCCTTGTTTATTTTGCCAAATGTGTCCACTAAAATATGAGCCAGTACATGTGTTTGGGCAATAATCCCGGACTCAGCCAATCTTTTTAATCTAAATATTTTAGAATAATATTATAATAAAAGTTTAATTTTTATATTATATTGAACATAAATTAATTTCAACTTATTTACATAAAATAAATTAATAAACATAAATTAGGATTTTGATGCAGTAAAATTAACATGATTAAAACTCAAGTAAAAAATTACATTATTTATATTAGTAATAGAGATTTATTTACTTACCCCATTATAATCTTATATTGATATGGGTGTTTTCTATGAATTACGTGAATAATATAGGTATGTCCATATTTGTTAGCTGTTGTTTCCAAATTGATACCTGGATTCGAATCTTTCAGATAACCGATAATTTTACTATTACATAAAATAGCCGTTTTTCCATGACCAAGATCATTATCTAGCGCCGCATTAAAATAATCAAATTGAGACGACTCTGTATTAATGCCCAATTTGTGTTCATATTTCTCAATTCGTTTGTATAATATGTGGTAATCCATGGGACGAGTTATCTTTATACTATTTATAGCTCCCATTCCGGCCACCCATAGCTCCCTGTGCTCTATTAGATCGCTAATTGAGTCGATAGTCTTAATTGGCTTATGAATAGAGTATGCGTTTAACATAAGACTCGTAAACGATAGGGTTATGAAGTTTGCGCTCAATATCCACACGTATAGCAAAAACAATAGATAAGTTTTACTTGTTTTACATTTAATATAGTTATTCATTACAATAGATTCATTATGACACAGATTCCCAATTATATCAATTAATAATTTAATAAAATTTGTCGTAAAATGTTGGTTTTTAAATAAAAACACAACACTGAAAATGAGTCCAAATAGTAATAATAAACACCAAAACTATATAAAGTAAATTTTTAAACGTTTTTGCTGAAATATTATAAAAATAATTACCTGATAATCAAATAGGTATACAAAGGAAAAGTTCGAGGTGTTTGACTTATGTTTGACCATGCTTAATATTTCCATTGTGTAAAACTGATTTACTATAACGTAATCTAATTGTGATAAATTATACGAATCCAATGTTAACTCTACGAGATTTAATGTGCCAGACTATTTGAAAAAAGGAAATAATACACAGTTATAGATATAAATTTATCTACTCAAGGTAAATGATAAAACAGACCTCTATCCTATCAGTGATTTTGGAATTAATAAATTTAATTTTTAAATTCAATGCACACATCATCCACTCTATTAATGATAGTCCAAAACCAATGTACATATTCTGATCATAAATAAAAATAATAAATTAATAAATGATGTAAATATTAATAAAT